CACAGACTCCATCAGTATTTAGACAAGGTCATAAGCAAAGTGGAAGTTCTCTCCTCCCTTCAGAGAAAAGTACCTCCTTCTTTGATGACCACTTCTTTCCATTGGGGTCTCAATAACTGAGGTCCTTCTTGGAGGACATTTTTTTCCACAGTGTCTTGGCTTTCCATGGCTGAAATGCTCTGTGGGCTTTTCAGCCAGACCAGAATGCCTTAAAGGCTGATTGTGAGGTCAGAGTGCTACTTAAAGTGATTGTCATTTTATGAGTCTATTGTGCAGACTGTTTCCCATGTTGGAGCATTCAGTCCTTTTTAATTACCTTTATTATTACCAGAAATTTAATCCTATCCATATGATCACCTTAAAATGGTGTTTTTACCACCCCTGTGCTATGTTTTAAAGATAGCTTTGTATTTGGCCTTTTTCCTGAAAAGATGTAAGAGGACTTTGAACCTGAGGAGATGGAAGAGGACTTTGGTCCAAAGCAATAAACTTTGCATTTGGTGCAGTGGTTAAGATGCCACTTAGAATGCCTGCACCCCTTATCAGAGAATCTAGTTCAAGTCCTCGCTCCTCTGCATCTGATCCAACTTTCTGCTAATGCACAGACTGGCAGCAGATGATGGCTCAAGTACTTGAGTCTCTGTCACCAACGTGGGAAAGCCAGATGGAGTTCCAGGCTTCTGGCTTTGACCTGACCCAGCCCTGGTTTTTATAGGCATTTGGGGAGTAAACCAGTACATGAAGGTCTCTGTCTGCCTGCCTTCCAGATAAACAATAATAATAATAAAATAAATAAATGATTACCTTTAAAAGAATCATAAATGAGAAGAAGCTCAGCCAATTCCACTGAGGCTTAACTTTAAAAATAAGAAAAGGATGCTCTATGCAGGTGTTTTCACATCTCAGACATAACCTGCTTGCTTTTTCTGTGTTTGCCTCCTTCTGTCTCTCACTGGTGCCCCAAGGGCTGGGCTAGGCAGTTTTTCCTTCTGCAGCCTACACCTAAGCAGGAACAAAGATTCAAAAAGCCCTCACTGGACAAAATGTCTTTCATGCATATTAGCAGAACCAGTTTGCCCTCTCCTGGAGATGAAATAAGACAGCGCCTGTGGAAAAGAAGAAGGCAGGGTGGTGCCTGCAGGAGGAGGAGGACAGAGAAGATGGGTGACTGGGGAGGGAGACCGGGGCAGGACGACCTGGAGTCATATGCAGCTTCCATTGGCGCCCCCTGCTGGCCAGAAGTCCCTGGCGTTGGCTAGACTCCCAAGCAGAGGAGAAAGCATGGTGTGGATTTCACTGCGGTAACATCCCTCAAATCCCTGTTCCCTGAAATGACAAAGGAAAGGAAACACTCGTGTGTTGGCACCGCAGCACTGACATCGAATGTGTGGGGATCGCCACACCAATCAGGTCTTCAAAGGTGGCACAGACCCCACAGCTTCGGGGCACCTCCAAAGCTAGTCTGCAAATCCCAGGCCTCTGGCTTCTTACGGAAGGTTCCCAGCCGTCTCCCCGTGTTTGGTCATTTGCTATGGCCACTCACTGAACTCAGGAAAACACTTTCTGATTATCAGTTTATGATGAAGGACACCACTGAGCAGTCAGATGCAGAGGTGCAGAGGGCAGGGTGGGGCAGTGGAGCCGCTGCGCCATCTCCAAGCCTGCCGCCCTGCCTGCACCTCGTGTGCTCACCGGCCCGGAAGCTCTCCGAGCTCCTTCAGTTAGGGCTGATTAAATCAGCGGCCGCAGGGGATCGAGCGCTCACTCCTCCGCAGCTGTTGGTCGGGAATGGGACTGGAAGTTCCAACTGCAGTGACAGTGTGGGTTCCTCTGGCAGCCAGCCCAGCCCTCCGGGCATCCCCTCATTAGCACAGATTCAGCTCCCTTTGAAAGGACTTATCAGGGGTGACAGATGCTGCTCTCACCCTTATCACTCAGGAAATGACAAGGAGACAAAAATCAAGCACGTACCTCGTACCTCGTGCAACGTCTCACTGCCACAGAGGGCTCGTGGTGCTCACACTCCCTGCCTCTGTAGGGTGATCCGGGGCTGCCCCTCCGTGTCATTCTGACACCAGGACCCAGGCTAACAAAGCAGCCACCAGCACGTGGCCAGTCATCCATGCAGAGGGAAAGGGAGAGTGCAGGACACCGTGTGCTGGCCCTGAAGGCTTCTGACTAGAAGCAGCACACGTGGACACCATTTCCTCTCCCACAGTACTGACCCAGAGAGTCACATGGGCACATGTCACCCATGGGTGACAGCAGAGCAGTGCTCGCTCCACCATGGCTTACTTGTCTGTGTCTAGAAACTTTCTGAAAGGAAGCAGGGAATCTGACTGCCCCCAAAATGGGAAATGTGGGGAAATTTAGGTTTTACTTTATACCCCTCTGTAATGTTTTAAATGTTAGCCACAGCATTAACTGATATGGATTAATCAATCAATGAAACCCATGTCCACCACTCTGATGGTTCAGCAGAAGACAGAATGAATGGCCAACATGAAACCCAAAGAACCGAGAGTTTATGGTTTTGACAGCAAGGTTTTGCCCCCAACAGAAACATCCACTGTTGCAGGGCTGCGCCCAGGGTGAAAGAGCACTGCTCTGCCCCCAGGAGCCCGGCCAGCACCTGCCCAGAGAGTGCCTGCAAAGTATTTCTTCCCTCAAGGGAACAAAGAGGACTTCTTCTTTTTTTATGTTATTTTTTTTGACAGGCAGAGTGGACAGTGAGAGAGACAGAGAGAAAGGTCTTCCTTTACTGTTGGTTCACCTTCCAATGGCCGCCGCGGCAGGCGTGCTGCGGCCGGTGCACCACGCTGATCCGATGGCGGGAGCCAGGTGCTTCTCCTGGTCTCCCATGGGGCGCAGGGCCCAAGCACTTGGGCCATCCTCCACTGCACTCCCGGGCCACAGCAGAGAGCTGGCCTGGAAGAGGGGCAACCGGGATAGAGTCCGATGTCCCGACTGGGACTAGAACCCGGTGTGCTGGCACCGCAAGGTGGAGGATTAGCCTACTGAGCCGCGGCGCCGGCCCAAAGAGGACTTCTGACCTTTGTCTCCAGGCTTCAGAATGTGTTTTTTTTCCCCCAGTCCAAAGGCCAAGACCATTCCACTTACCTTGTCACCTCTGACCTTACAGAAGAAGTGACTTGGAGACCATGACCTGAACTTGGAGCCATGACCTCTGATGCTCTCGTTCCCCAAGAAGTCCCAGGTTTCCGTTCTCGATCCCTCCCAGCCACCACCCTGGGGCCCGTCAAGAGGCTTGGCTGGGGACTTTCCTTCTGTATCATCCCAGGTCAGGGAACCAAAAGGCAGTTGGTTTGGGGAAGGGTGGAAGATTGAGTCACAAAGTGAGACCTACTCTAACCAGGGGCATGGCCAAGGACCCAGACTGTGCCTGGTTTAGCTGCCCTCTCCACTTGCCACCTGCAGCCAAACTTCTGCTGGTGAAGACTTGGAAGGGGTCCCTCATCCTTGGAGAGACGTCTTGGGACGGGGCCTCAGAGGCAGAGCTGTGAGGCCGGTGGGCACAGGCACAAACCGTGAAACACACGTGACTCGTTCTCTCCTTGTCCGACAAATATTTCTTTATTTTGATTCACCAAGCGTTACTGACCAGCAAAGAGCCCAGAACCATGACAAGAATTAAGGGATGTACAAACATGTCTAAGAACTAACCCCACGCGGGAAGAAGTGGGGAAGGCAGTGGCTGGAGATTGAGTTCAATCACCAATGGCCAATGATTTAATAAACCATGCCCACCCGCACAGTGAAGCCTCCATAAAATCGCTAAGTAACAGGATTTGGAGTTTTGGGGCTCATAAAATGCAGCTGTAACAGCTGAGATGAACCCCAGGAACTTGCTCTGTCAGCTACGAAATCTGAGGCAGATGAACAAACGAGAAGGCAATTTTAGCAAAGAACACACGAGAATTGGCAATTGTAAGTTGATTGGGAAGGAAAGATTGGAAACTCATGAGAAGATAGCCAGGAGGGGCAGAGGAGTCCCACTGCTTCCTATGCTAGGGTTTCTATATGGAAAACAGCAAACATTTTCTCACAGAGCAAAGGTGTGCTCCAACTTTTCATCCTTTCTTCTAGAAATGTAGTTTCACCCAAAGCCAATAACCCCTTCTTCCCGGGATGTGGCTCTTGTTCTTCTTCTGTGAGCAGGTGGGCAGCTTCCTTGAAGATTTTTTGTTTAGAGTTACAGATAATGAGAGGGAGAGACAGAGAGAAAGGTCTTCCATCTGCTGGTTCCCTTCCCAAATGGCCACAATGGCCGGAGCTGGGTCAATCCAAAACCAGGAGCAAGGAGCTTCTTCCGGGTCTCACAGACAGGTGCAGAGGCCCAAGTGACTGGGCCATCTTCTACTGCTTTGCCCAGGCCATAGCAGAGAGCTGGATTGGAAGAGGAGCAGCCGGGACTTGAGCCGACACCCATATGGGATGCCAGCACCGCAGGCGGAGGATTAACCTACTGCATCACAGTGCCGGCCCGGGTGGGCAGCTTCGAACACTCATAAAGCACATGTCTTCCTGAACAAGGCAGTTCGTCAGAGCCAGAACCTTTTCTGATGGTGATAAGAAATGACCCATTCAAACTCACTGAGTCAAAATGGGAACTTTACTCTAAGGTCTTAGGTTGTCCCCATCAGTGAGCAGGAAGGCCCAAGGGATGGCAGCCGGGCCACAGAAAGACAGGGACCCGAACTGGAAAACAGGGATTACAAGAGTTACCCTGTCTCATTTGTTCTCCAACTCCGTGGGGCCAGCACAAGGGCACTGCAAAAAGATCATGGAATTGGATAAGTTTGGTTTGCTGCAAAAACTTTGAAATGCATGCATGGAAGGGGGGCGTCTTCAAAAAGTTCACAAAAATGCATATTTTTCAAAAACTATGGCTAGATTTCAAATTTTTTCACACCAAAATAAACTTACTGCTTTTCAGATTTATTTATTTTTATTTATTTGAAAGGCAGAGAAACAAAGAAAAAAAAAAAGAGAGAACCATCCACTGGTTCCCTCCTTAAATGGCCCCAGTGGCCAAGGCTGGGCCAGGCCAAAGCCAGAAGTCAGGAACTCTCTCCTGGTTTCCCACGTGGGTGCAGGAGCCCAAGCCCAGGAGCCATCATTCGCTGCCTTCCCAGGCACAGTGAGCAGAAGCCAGTTCAGAAGGGCAGAGCGGCCGGTCTCAGACTGACGCTCCAGAACGGGACACAGGCATTGCAAGCTGCAGCTTAGCCTGCTGCGCCACCGCGCCAGCCCCAGACTGAACTTTTAATGCCAGTTTCCACAAACTCTTCGAAGCACCTTCTCATCTCTCAGCATCTCACTGTGTATCTTTGTCTGTCGCTAGAACAAAAGTACCTAAGGCTGGACACTTTACAAAGGAAGCTTTATTTCGGTTCTTCCTTCTGTGTGTCCAGAAGCCCGGCACTGTCAGCAGCTCAGTTTCTGGCGGGCGCCTCGTGCTGCATGACATCATATTGCATAAGCAGAAAGGGCACGTGCGTGCTCGCAGAAAGGGCGTGTGTGAAAGACGCAGAGAACAACCTGCTCTGGAGAGAACTAACCCAACCTCTCAAAAAAGACACTAGTTCCTTCATGGCAGCAGTGCCCATCACCTTCTTTTTTTCTTAATATTTATTTATTTACTTGAAAGTCAGAGTTACACAGAGAGAAGGAAAAGGCAAAGAGAGAGAGAAAGAGAGGTCTTCCATCTACTGGTTCACTCCCCCAACTGGCCGCAACGGCCGGAGCTGCGCCAATCCGAAGCCAGGAGCCAGGAGCTTCTTCCGGGTCTCCCATGCGGGTGGATGCAGGGCCAAAACATGTGGGCCATCTTCCGATCCTTTTCCCAGGCTCATTAGCAGGGAGCTGGATCAGAATTGGAGCAGCCAGGACTTGAACCAGTGCCCATATGGGATGCCGGCACTGCAGGCAGTGACTTTGCCCACTACGCCACAGCACCAGCCTCCTTAAAGATCCCAGCACCTCTCATCACCATTACATTGGGAACCAGTTCACAATGTGAGTTTTGCTGAGAACAAACCATATTCAAACCATAACCTTTATCATTCTCTCCACAATGCCTTTCTCTATTTCTCTGTTGCATGATAGACAGCCCCGTAATAGCCCACAAAATCTGTGATGCCTCTGCTCAAGCTACCATCAGAGGCAGAGCACTACCCTAGAATTCTCATCCCAAAGGAGGGAACTTACTCCATGGCACCCACCTAGGTTACAAGTAGCTAGCAGATATTTGTACCCAGAGAGGTGGTCATGTGACCCCAGCATGGCTGTGTTGTGAGAAGGCAGGGGCAGGGAGGGTGTGTGTGTCCTGGGTGGTTTACCCAAAACTTCTAGCAAGACCTGTGTGAGGACAAGGGGTTTTTCAGCAAAAAGAGCAATGACGACCTCATCCTGTCCTTCAGTCCATATTTTTAGTGGTTGGAGCAACTTCCATGAGCAGCTGGAGATGCAGGGTAGCCGTCTGCAAACACCTGGGCTGCCACTGGAAGTAGACGAACAGGAAATACACCAGGAAGCCACTGAGCAGGAAGAGGAAGATGTACAGGAACTCCATCTGGGGGTGGTCGATGATGGGTGCCAGCACCAGGTAGAGAGAAGCCAGGAGCATGATGGCAGGGATGAGGGTGGGAACCTGCGGAGGGCAGACAGCTGGCCTTTGGGCCTGACTCCTGGATGCCGTAGGGCATGGGAGGTGGTGCATGGCCCCTGGACTCCCATCCTCCTGCATGCCTGCTATTGTTTCCAGCTGCCACTAATTCTCTCTTCTAACCTGAGCCACGATACCTCACCTGGACCAGGGGAAGCACCTGCTGGGCTGCTGCGAGCTGGCTCAGGCCCCAGGAGCATCCTCTGCTATGTGAACCCCGGGGCAGACCTGCATCCATCTGTGTTTGCCTCTGGTGTTCTCCCTCAGGGTCCTCCAGAGGAGAAATGATCCCCAGCAAGCACGGATCATGCCTTGCAGCTCAGCTCTCTCTCTCTGTCTCTCTCTCTCTGTCTCTCTCTCACACACACACACATACACACACACACGAAATGTGATCGTGGCAACACCTTACATTCTTCCTCTGGGTTCTGAATGAAGCCATAGCCCAAAGCTGTGCCTCAGGCAGGAGCCCAGGGGTGGGAAAGCCCAGTGCCCACCCCAAAGTCTACCTTGTAAGGTCTGGGAAGATTCTTCCGCTTCATCCGCAAATACAGGAGGCAGCTAATGGTGGTTCCGTAGATGAGCCAGGAGAGGAGGCTGAAAGGAAAACTCCAGATCAAGCCTTCTCTGGCTGTATTAGCCAGCATTTCGCCACTATAATGAAATACCTGAGAGCAGGCTACTGTATAAAGAAAAGAGGTTTGTTTTGGCTCACAGTTCTGGGGGCACAAGGCTGAAGGTGTATCTACGATGGTCTTCTGTGTGTAGAGTCCCAGGATAGTACCGGGGGGGGGGGGGTGTCACATGGCAGGAGACGGGGAGCCTGTGTGTGTGTGTGTGTGTGTGGTGTCTGTCTCTCTCCCTTTTCTTATAAAGATACTAGGATTCAATCATGGGCTCCACCACAATGATTAGACAAATCCTACCACTTCCCAAAGGCCCTACCTGCAAGCACCATAGTTGAATTAAGTTTCTACCCTCCTCACATCACCCGGTGGGGATTACATTTCAATGCATGACACCCAGACCATAGCACTTTCCCTGGCAGGAAGAGCTTTGTGTTTCTTAAAAGGGAGAGTCTGCTGGGCCTCAGGGATGCCCGTGCTCCCCGCAGGGACCAGCACTCTCGTAGCAGAGCCCCCCTTCTGCCAGCAACTTGTCGTTTCCCTTAGGGCTAGCAACCACTGAGCACCCAGACAGGTCTCACTCTGCCCTCTGCCGGCCCCAGTGTCTGTCTGTGAGTGGCTGAGCGAGGTTTCATAAAAACACCATTGAAACTAGGAGGCAGGGTCCAGATCAGACCACCCCTGGAGGAGGTCCAGACTGGGAGACGTTGGGTCCTGGTTGGGAAGGATCATCCTACAATTATCACTGTGTCCTGGGACGTCTTGGTCACCAACCCCAGGCTCAGCCTGAAAGCTCCCCACGCTCACTATGGATTTGATTTTGTTCTCGCAGTACTGTGATGTCATTCTTTCTCATGGGAAAGAAGATAAAAAGAAAAAGCCATGTCTGTTACTTGTTGTTTTAAGAAAGTCACATCAAGCACCGAGTGTACTGTTCCAGATTAATTAGACAACAAAGGGACAGAATACGTGGTGCTTACAAAACGGCTCTGAGAGCTCCCTCCGCACCCAGACACTCGGCCTGCCTGTTGGCTGAGGGATCTGCCTGTTCACCCTACTTCAAAGGAGGCTATAAAGTTACAACTGGGTATCACAAAAGCTCAGCAATTCTGCCCTGGGGAAAATAATAAAGGGGCCATAACTTCTCCCACTTTGATGCAATCACTGATTGTGCCACACGGGTTGGTATGGCTGGCCCTGAGTGCCACAGAGATTACGCGGGGTCAGAGTCCAGCATGCAGGTCCAGACTACAAGGAAAAATGACAACATAGCCAAGGGCCCCAAGTTGTGTGAATAATGCCCAAATATCCTGCAGCATCAGCTTAGCAACTGGAGGAAGGAACAAAACAAAACAAAACAAAACAAAACAAAACAAAACAAAAACGATGACAAAGACCACACAAGTCTTATTTTGTCCATCTTTTGGAAAAACATCTATCTTACTGAATTTTTGGAAATGAGGCATGGTCAATTGTGGAAACATGACTAGGGCAGAATGGCGAAGCATATGTGTGTTTGTGTGTGTGTGTGTACACTAGGGCCCCAAGCCTGGGTTTGTAGAAGTGTGTATGCATTGATGCTTATGAGTGTGTACACATAGAGGGCTTCCAGGATAGTTCACAGATGTGCTTATATATATGCACGTGTGTGTGTGCATGTGAAGGCTCTGGGAGTGTGTGTGTCTATGTTTGTGTACTTATAGCTTTTTCATAATATTCATTTTCCATTAATTTTTGGAGACCGCTTGTATGCATGAATTTCAAATTTTTTGCACCAACATAATCTTTTCATTCCATTTCCACAAACCGTTTGAAGTGTCCTTGTATATGTGCACAAGTGAATATGTATGCATAAGGGACTCCAGAAACATGCATGCACACGTGTTATATATGTGCGCACATGTATGAGCATGTACACAGGGAGGCACTCCAGAAAAGCACGTGTGTTCATATACACGTGTACCACAGGGGTGTTCAGGTCCTCAGCCTTGGGGGACAGTCTCACTTGCCTCAAGAAGGTCACAATGCTGCTGAAGTTTCCTGGGATGATAAGCACCAAAGCCACGGCCGTGGTGAACATCAGGGCTGGAGACGGTGTGAGGCGGTGCACGTGAACCATGGAGAGAACTCGGGGCTGGGAAGCAGAGCCAGGTGTCACACAGGCCCCAGGCAAGCCACAGCAAGTATCTCTTCCTCTCTCAAACACATTCTGATACGTGTGTGCTCAGCCTAACAGTCACCGGTCACCACCACTTCCACGTGTAGGTCACTGAGGTTCCCTTGGGGTTACCAGGCCCAGGGAGGAGAGCACAGGGTAGATATGGATGGACCATGGAGAGTTGTTATGGTAGACTGTATCACAGTTCCTCAAGTCTCCCTCTCCCCACCTCTGCAGAGAGTGTAGAGGCCCCCATCCATTAATGGGCCCGGCCATGCCAATGTTTTGGCTGATAAATTATGAGCTGGAGGGGCTGGCACTGTGGCATAGTAGGCTAAGTCTCTGTCTGTGATGCCAGCATCCCATATGGGCACCAGTTCGTGTCCCGGCTGCTCTTCTTACAATCCAGCTCTCTGCTATGGCCTGGGAAAGCAGCAGAAGATGGCCCAAGAGCCAGGGCCCCTGGACCTGCATGGGAGACCTGGAAGAAGTTCCTGGCTCCTAGCTTCAGATCAGCCCAGCTCTGGCTGTTGCAGCCATTTGAGGAGTGAACCAGTGGATGGAAGACCTGGCTCACTCACTCTCTTTCTCTAACTCTACCTCTCAAATAAATAAATAAAATCTTTTTAAAAATTATAAGCAGGAGGCCGGCGCCGCGGCTCACTAGGCTAATCCTCTGCCTGCGGCATCGGCACACCGGGTTCTAGTCCCGGTCAGGGCACCGGATTCTGTCCCAGTTGCCCCTCTTCCAGGCCAGCTCTCTGCTGTGGCCCGGGAGTACAGTGGAGGGTGGCCCAAGTCCTTGGGCCCTCCGCCCGCATGGGAGACCAGGAGAAGCACCTGGCTCCTGGCTTCGGATCAGCACGATGCACCGGCCACAGAGCGCCAGCCGTGGTGGCCATTGGAGGGTGAACCAACGGCAAAGGAAGACCTTTCTCTCTGTCTCTTTCTCTCTCTCACTGTTCACTCTGCCTGTCAAAAAAAATAAAATTATAAGCAGGAGTGACACGGCAGAGGCTCTGAATATGCTTGCAAGGTTTGGTTTGTGTTCTTGAACCCCTGCCTCTTGCTGCAGGCAAAACCATGTCCTGGAGCCACCACCCCTTTGGCCTGAGTCCCTGAGATTGGAACAGCCTCACGCTGGTGCAAGAAGACCTGGACAAGCCCCAGCCTGAACCAGGGCCACGGAGGACCCAGTAAGCAAGAGTCAAATGTTAGTGCTGCAAGCCACTGAGATGTGGGATTGTCTATTACTCAGCATTGTTACTACAGTAAAAACTGGCACAGGGAAGGAGAGTCCCTAGGGAGGAAAGCCAGAAGGCACACGATGTTACTGCTCCTACCTGTCCTGCCCTGGCCCTTGCACCCTTGCTGTGCGTGAATATCCTTATCATCCACACCCTCCACACAGGGTGGCCAAGTGCCATGACCTCCCAGGAACCTGAGAGTGAAGGGATTGCAGTTACAGCTGAGAGGTGTGGAATGCTTCAGCCCCACTCTCAGAAGCAAAGAGGGCTAAGTCTTGTTGGAGACAAGGCTAAGCCGTGAGCAGGAGAAAGCTGAGCTGGCAGCCTTCGGGGTGCCCCTCCCACAGTACCCACCCCTCGCTCTGCCCCAGACTCCATCTCTTACCAGGTGGCCCTCTCTCGCAGCCACGTAGCACACACGGCTTCCGCTGAAGAACGCCCCATTGACAGACCCGAATGTGGAGATGGCTACAGCCAAGGGCACCAGCCAGGCCCAGGACCCCAGAATCTGGTTCCTAGGACAACAAAGCGGTCAGGGAAGGAAGTTCAGTAGCAGCTTGGGAGAACCAAGGCCCCAGTTGATTGGGGAGCAAGCAGTGCATCTGAGGGAAGCTTAAATATACAAGTCCCACTCTCCTTCCCCAACCTGCGGTGTCTGCCTGGTGTCCGTGAACAGCTCAAGTGAATTACTCACCCCCAGCTCGCAGCCATAGCATCAGACGAAAGGATCTCCCTGGGTGACAGCACCAGCAGGTAGCTGATGTTGGCCAGGATGTACAGGCCGGTGACCATGGGGATGGCGATGATCAATGCCCACACCAGGTTCTTCTGCAGGGTAGCAAGAACACGGCATGGGAGAAGCCTATGAGGTCTTCCCAGGCCCCCAGAATAAGCACAGCAGCACCACACAGAGCTCAGCATGGCTGTGTCCATTGTGCCGGGCCCTGAGATAAGTGCTGTATGCCTCTCCTCCCTGGGTTCATGGTCCCCAAGGCATGGGGTGTCACACTGTGCACCCAAACATAGCATTGCTGTCACCTATGTTGCAAAAGTAACATCAGAGAGGCAAGGGTTGCAGTGCAGTGGGTGGGGATGCTTGCATTTTATATCAGAGTGCCTGGGATTGAGTCCCACTTCTGCTTCCAGTCCAGCTCCCTACTAATGGGCCCGGGAGACAGCAGCTGATGGCTCAAGTACTTGGGTTCCTGCCACCTACATGGGAAACCTGCATACAGTCCCTGCCTTTTGGCTTTAGTGTTATCCAGCCCTGGCAGCTGCAGGCATTTAGGGAGTGAACCAGCAGATGGAAGATATTTCTTTCTCTCTCTCTCTCTTTTAAATAAATAATTTTTAAAAATTTTTAAAGGAAATTTAACATCCAGGTTTGGTGTTTGGGGCATGATTAAGATGCCACTTAGGAAACTCACATCCTGTACCAGAGTGCCTGGCTCCAGTCTGGCTTCCTCCACTTCCAAACTTGCTTCCTGCTAATGTACACCCTGGGAGTCAACAGGCAATAGCTCAGGTAGTTGGGTCCCTGCCACCAACATGGGAGACCCAAGTTGAGTTCTGGGTTCCTGGTTTCAACCCGGCCCAGCACTAGCTGTTGCAGGCATCTGGGGAGTAAACACACAAATGGGAAATTTCTGTCTCTGCCGTTCAAATAAGATGAAAATAAATACATAAAAACTTTAGAGGAAGAAAGGAGCATTAAACAAAACAGAGAAGTGGTCTTGTCTGAAAAGGTTTACCACTGCGCACTCCTGAGACGGGGGGTGGGGGTGGGGGGGAGACAGGCCCTTCCCCACGTGGACACAGCTGCCCCGATCAGCCTACCCAGTACTCTTCAGAATTTCGTAAAATCAGCCCCCTGCAGATCTTCTTGCCTGGTCTGAGACCTGCCCCCCGGGCAACTGTGGAGGTGCAGGTGGGCAGGGGCACCGAGGACGGGCCAGTACCCTCCTCCCCTGTTCAGGTCTCTGCAGTCAGTCGCAAGGATGGCTACGCTCCCTCCCCTCATGTTTCCTGGCTTTCTTGGCCTCCATGCTCCTTCTCCAGAGCTGTTTTGCCATCAACTGCATGGGCCCTGAGAGCCGAGGCCCCAGCCTCCTCTGCAGGGGCAGATGCCTTGCTTGCCTTCTCGGCTCTCTTGGGTACCCGAGCTAGCAGCCCAGGTGGCAAGCCGGTGAAAGTGAAGCAGGCAGGAAGGCAACACGTTCTTGCACAAAATGGGCCCTCTCAAGTCCCTCTCGCTCTAAGATCCGGGGATCTGAGGGCGAAGGAAATTGGCCAGCCACAGCATGACCTAGAGGCTAACTCTCTGTCATCGCAGCACCGGAAAGCTGGCTCTGCCTGGGTCCAGAGGAGGCCCCGCAGAGCAAAGGTGCCACAGGGCTCTCCCTCCTGGGGTCCAGCATGGATGCCCTCAGCTGTGCGTCCCAGCCCGCCCAGTCCCACCTGCTGCCTGATGTTGGAAACAAAGCTGTGTTGGAACACACACACATTCACGTGTTCACCTGTGGCTTCTTTCAGGCTGTAACAGTGGAGCTGACTGACTTTCAAATAAATACATAAATGTTAGGAGGGCCGGCACTATGGCGTAGCGGGTAAGGCCACCGCCTCAAGTGCCACCTGCTCCACTTCGATCCAGCTCTCTGCTGTGGCCTGGGAAAGCAGTAGAGGATGGCCCAAGTCCTTGTGCCCCTGCAGCCACATGGGAGACCTGGAAGAAGCTCCTGGCTCCTGGCTCCGGATTGGCGCAGGTCCGGCTGTTGCAGCCATCTGGAGAGTGAACCAGTAGATGGAAGAACTCTGTCTCTCTACCTCTGTCTCTCTGTAACTTTGCCTTTCAAATGAAGAGAAGAGAAGAGGAGAGGAGAGGAGAGGAGAGGAGAGGAGAGGAGAGGAGAGGAGAGGAGAGGAGAGGAGAGGAGAGGAGAGGAGAGAAGGTGGGAGCGTGTGCGGGAGGGAGGATAGGGTGGGGAGTGGCACTATGCTCTGAAATCTATGTGTATGAAATCCATGAAATTTGTTCCCCTTAGAAACTGTAATAAATAAAAACCAGTAGAGCTGAGTGGTCACGACAGAGAGACATAGATATTAACTCTCTGTTCCTTTATAGAAAAGGTGTGCTTAAGCAGGGGCTGGTCTCCCTCAGCTTTAGGCTCCTTGCTCTTTTCCTGGCCCACTCTGAGCTCAGGGCCTGAATTCAGAGGAGGCCTCTAGCCTCTGAGCGCTGCAGGGCCAGGGCTTCTGCTCTGTAGGGCCAGCCCAGGGCCACCCCGAGCACACTCCAGCCATTCCCATGAGGCTTACATTGTACAGCAGCTACAGTACTCGGAGCCCACCATCTCCAGAGTGATTACACCTCTGCTATTCCAGGGCCCTGGGAGGTAGGCAGGCAGACTGCCACCCATGTTAGAGGCAAGGAACCAGGGCTCAGGAATTAAATGCAAAAATAAAAGCCAGATCCCAGGACTCCTGGTTCTCTCCACCTCTCACTCTCTTTCTCTCTCCTCTCCCTCTCTCTGCTCTTGGATTTAAGAAAACAAAAATAAAACAAATAATATCCTAGGTAAATGTATTTATAGCAAAGCGTGGGCATCCATAGTAACCAAAGATCCAAATGTCCCCTCTGAGTCCCAAGCTGCCTTTAGACCTGTCCCCAACCAGGACAATGATGAGTCAGCTCCAAGCTCACGGGCAGGACTGGCTCTTTCCCCTGTGCCAAAGTGTGCTGTGTCCCACAGTGGCTCCCAAGCTTTGGCAACTGTGAATTAAGTACCTACTGCAATGCCCCGGGGAAAACAGCCAGGAAATACCAGACTGAGTCATCTAGTCTGGCCTCCTACAAACAGTAAAACCCTAACACCATTCCCCCTTTCTAAACTAAATTTAATGATAATTTAGTGATAATTTCTACCTCACAGGATAGAAAAATGAGACCATGGCTGTGATGCCGTCAAGTTCTCTGTGTACTTGAGAAGCAACAATTTCTATCATCACATACACCAGGCCAGGTAGACTGTGGGCTGGCACCCCAGCCCCATGAATGCAGGAAGGGAGCCCACGTCTCCAGCTGACTGGCTCATGGTCTGAGTCACCTCGGATTTGGATAATTGAAGATCGGAGCTGCTGATGTCTGGAGATTTCCGCCCCAGAAGCTGCGGCTTGCACTCACGTGTGGATTCTTGAGCTCCTCCGTCACACAGTTGATGTTGCTCCAGCCGTCGAAGGACCACAGGCCCTGGTAGAAGGCCATGCCGATGCGCCCCGCCTGCTGGGTTGTGTTTTGGAAGGCAGACAGAAGGGCTTCCCTGCGGCTGCGGCCCTGGCCCAGAGCCGCGGCCCCGCCCACCACGATGACCAGCAAGGAGAGCACTTTGGCCGCCGTGCACACGTTCATCAGCCTGGTGGCCAGCCTTGAGCTCCAGCAGTTGACCAGCATCAGCAGCAGGATGCAGGCGGCTGCCACGATCTTGAGCACTGCCTGGGGCAGTGAGGCGCAGCCGGGGTAAAAGGGAGCAAGTGAATACTCAGCAAAGCTCAGGGAGATAGCGCTGATGGCGGCTGGCCTGCCTACCAGCACCAGCGTGTAGACGTCCAGGAAAGCCGGCAGGGAGCCAAAGGTGCGCAGGATGTATACATACTCCCCACCAGACTCGGGGATCAGGGCGCCCAGCTCGGCATAACACAGAGCACCCAGCATGACCAGGAGGCCACACGCTGCCCAGACCACCAGACTGGCCCCAGGGCTGCCCATGTGGACCAGGACCCCCTGCGGGGACATGAAGATGCCCGAGCCGATCATACAGCCGACGATCAAGGACACAGCGCTCCACAGACCAATCTCCCTTCTCATCGCCAGCCCCGGGGCCCCATGGCCTGGCTGTTGCCCTGCCACCCCCCCATCGCCATCTCCTTCCTTACTTCTCTCCATCTCGGGATTTCAGCAGATACTGCCCCTGGGTTGGCAAGAGGCAGAAACTCTGATACTTGTCTGTCTCGTGGGCTTCCTGCAGGAGTTAATGATTACAGCACAGAGGGAGTCTGAACCAGTGGCCAAAGAGCCTGGGCGTGGCATTAGAAGGAACTGAGCCTTCGCAGACCTCGCCAGCCCCCCGTCCCACCCACTCAGACCCTGGCACAGGGAGTTGGCAGGAGCTGTTTGCCAACACGGCCCAAGAAAGCTCACGGGAGAGGTTTTCCAAGGAAGCCCTCCTGCCCAATTCCAAAGCAGCAGGTGGAATGCAGGCCAGCACCAGCAGTGTGAACGCTGAGCCGCTCATTGCGCGTGAGGAGCCTAAAGACTCTTTATAGCACTTTTATCAGCCAATCAGTGGGAAAGCAAAGATCCCCACGCAGACAGCCTGTAAGTGAAACTGCAAGAACCTTACCCTAAAGACGAACCAGGATGGTCCAAAGAGAGGACCCAGGTCATCTAGGACAGAGCTTGTTCCCCAAGCTAGGAGAGAGAAAATAGATTAGGAGTGTTCTGGAATGAGCCTGCTCGAGTTCCAATCCTAGCTCTAGTGCCTTATAGTCCTGTGGCCTGGATCAAGATCTCTGAACCTCATCTGACAACTATAAGAAGACCCACTGTGTGGGGAGCAACTCGGACTAGACTAAGTTACTGGAATTAAGACTTATTCTATGCATCTGCTCTCCCACAATATGGCGCTGGGAGAGGAGTAAACAACTTCTACACAGCTGCCTCTCGCCAATTTGATTGACTGAGCTGCAGGAGCTGATCTTGCTCCAGATTGGAGGAGAGCAGCATGCTTGGCGTGTGGGTAGCAGAGTTGGGATTGGTGGAAGAGGACTATAAAGGAGGAGAGAGACAACATGCACCAGGAACATCCGGATAACATCTGAGCAGCCCCCGAGAGAGCCGGCCGGCGGTGTGCCGCTCCCCCACGGAAGTGGGGAAAATGGCAGGGGGAGCCGCCCTTCCACGGAGGTGGAAGGATCGGCAGCCAACCCAGGAAGAACCAGCAGCAAACCCGGGAAGGGCTGAGCAGACGAAAGAACAGCGCAGGGTCCTGTGTCGTTCCTCCACGAAGAGGGGGAGCGACACCACTGCAGAGGGTTGCTTGAAGGATTCAATAAGAAAGCTATTCGGAGTCGCTAGAATAGTATGCAACAGGGAGTAAGCTTCCCTTAGATGTTAGCCACTACACTCTGCCTAGGATTTTCATTAGTTCAGTTAGGGAAGAAGGGTTGGAATTAACATCGGGAGGAGACAGACTAGACGTGTTTCATTTAACAATAATGTTCACTTCAGTATATAGTGCATAAATTTTCGTGTAAAACACTGGGCTACAGAACCATTAGCATTACTACAGAAAGGTCGATGGAACTCACTGGCATTTGTGATAAAGGTGCTGTATTAGTGAGTTCTGTTCCTGTAACAAAATCTCTGGGGCTGGACACTTCACAAAGAAAAGATGCCCACGTAGCTCACAGTTTGGGAGGTTCAGCGGGGTGGCACCAGCTTCTGTTTGGTTCTGACGAACACCTTGTGATGGATGATTTCGCAATGGCAAGGTGCGTGGTGAGAGCGAGCTATCACACAGGAGTCAGGAGGCCAGAAAGAGGGGAGGGGCTCTTTTAGAACAGCTCGCTCCTGCAAGAATTAACTGGGGGCCTCATAAGAATCACCTTCGGGCTGCGCCGCAGCTCACTAGGCTAATCCTCTGCCTGCGGCGCTAGCACCCCAGGTTCTAGTCTCAGTTGGGGTGCCGGATTCTGTCCCGGTTGCTCCTCTTCCAGTCCAGCTCTCTGCTGTGGCCCGGGAGGGTAGTGGAGGATGGCCCAAGTGCTTGGGCCCTGTACCCGCATGGGAGACCAGGAGGAAGCACCTGGCTCCTGGCTTCGGATCGGCACAGAGTGCCGGCCACAACATGCCAGCCGTAGCGGCCACTTGGGGGGTGAACCAATGGAAAAAGAAAGACCTTTCTCTCTGTCTCTCTCACTGTCTAAATTTGCCTGTCAAAAAATAAAAAAAAAATTAAAAAAAAAAAAAGAATCACCTTCATCTCTAACAAGGGCAAGTCTGCCAAGGACCTCTCACTAAGGTCACACCCCTCAATACCAGCACACTAAGAACAAAATGAACCCTTGGGGGACAAACCACACCCAAAATGCAGCATATGCTGACACCCAAAGTGGGCAGGAAGATATGCAACCTCCCAAGCAGGTTGACCTATCTCAAGCCAGCCATATGGGCTACTCGGATCCCATGAATGTGTGCAAGCAGTGAAGTTCTTGAAAGAGGCAAGAGACCTCACTGTGATGGTCCCTGGGGTATCTGTCACTCTCTCTCGTTCTTTGTTGCATTGAAGCTTACTGGGCACACACAGGCCCTAAGAAATGAGGAGCCATGTTCTTCAGAAAATCACTAGAGAGGGGGATTTCCCAAGGTTCCTGCCTAGTTTGAGGGAAGAGAAGAAGATAGGAAAAAAGCAGATAGAAGAATTAGAAAAGAGGATAAGAAGGGAGGCTCAGGGAGAAGCTCCTGACAGTGCCCCGGTCACACTGCGCCTGCTGTTAGGTGGCGAAGACACTGACATTTCAACCCTCTTCCCCCGGGGGCTGTTGCTGTCGGATGTTTGCACAAGTCAGCTAAATGCAGGGTTTGAAAACAGCCCTCAAGGCTGGCACCAACTGCAATTTTGTGGGTCCCCAAGACCACACTTATGTCCCAGAATTTGCTAACAAGACTCGCAGAACTCATTGTAAGCTCATTGCACTTGGTTGTAGATTATTACACTTAAAGGATGCTGAGTAAGTCAGCCAGAGGAAGTGCATATGGCCAATTCCAGGGGGATTCTGCACACAGGGCTTCCAGCTGTCGTTGTCCCTGGAGTAAGGGCTGTGTTGCTCTCCCAGCACTGATGCGTGGCAACAGGAAGGGTCTTCAGAAAGCTCATAGAGGGGCCGGCGCTGCGATGTAGTAGCCTGTGCTTCTTCCTGTGACTCCAGCATCCCGTGTGGGCGCCGGTTCGAGTCCCAGCTGCTCCTCTTCCAATCCAGCTGTCTACTTATTGCCTGAGAGAGCAGTAGAAAATGACCCAAGGACTTGGGCCCCTACAGCCACCTAGAAGACCCAGAAGAAGCTCCTGGCTCCTGGCTTCAGATCAGCTCAGCTCTGGCTGTTGCAGCCATTTGTGGAGTAAACCAGCAGATGGCAGACCTTTCTCTCTGTCCTTTCTCTCTGTGTCTGTAACTCTACCTCTCAAATAAATTTTTTTAAAAAATTAAAGATTGCTTATAGGGGCTGGTGCTGTGGTGTAGTGGGTAAAGTCACTGCCTGCAGTGCCAGCATCCCATATGGGCACCAGTTTGAGTCCCAGCTGTTCCATTTCTGATCCAGTTCCCTGCTAATGTGCCTGGGAAAGCAGCCGAGATGGCCCAAGTGCTTGGGCCCTGAACCACATGGGAGACCTGGAAGAAGCTCCAGGATCCTGGCTTTGGATCAGCCCAGCTCTGGGTGGCCATTGTAGCCATTTGGGGAGTGAACCAGCCGGATTGAAGACCTTTCTCTCTCTCTCTCTCTCTGCCTCTCTGTAACTCTGCCTTTCAAATAAATAAATCTTTTTTTTTAAAGGTCTTCCTTCCGTTGGCTCACCCCCGAAATGGCTGCTAAGGCCGGAACTACGCCGATCTGAAGCCAGGCGCCAGGTGCTTCCTCCTGCTCTCCCACGCGGGTGCAGGCGCCAAGCACTTGGGCCATCCTCCTCTGCCCTCCTGGGCCACAGCAGAGAGCTGCACTGGAGGAGGAGCAGCCAGGACTAAAACCCGGTGCCCATATGGGATGCCGGCGCCTCAGGCAGAGGATTAGCCAAGTGAGCCACGGTGCCGGCCCCAAATAAATAAATAAATCTTTAAAAAAAAATACAGCTTGTAAAAAGGTGAGTATCTGGCGTAGTGGTTAAATTACTACTTGGGCGGCTGGCGCCGTGGCGCACTAGGTTAATCCTCTGCCTGCAGCGCCGGCATTCCATATGGGTGCCAGTTCTAGTCCCGGGCAGTGGAGGATGGCCCTTGGGCCCCTGCACCCGCATGGGAGACCAGGAAGAAGCACCTGGCTCCTGGCTTTGGGTTGGCATAGCGCAGGCCGTGGCGGCCATTTGGGAAGTGAACCAACAGAAGGAAGACCTTTCTCTCTGTCTCTCTCTCACTGTCTATAACTCTACCTGTCAAATAAATTTTTAAAAAATTAAAAATAAATAAATAAAATAAAAATTAAAATAGATAGATAGATAGATAAATTTACCACTTGGAAGCCCACATCCCATATCAGAGGACATGATTCAAGTCCTGGTTCCATGATTCTGTGCTGCTCATGCTTGCTCTGGGAGGCAGCCAATGATGACTCAGGTCCTTAGGTCCCTGCCACCCATGTGGATGACCCAGATGGAGTTCCAGGATCCTGGCTTCAGCCTGGCCCAGGCCTGGTTGCTGTAGGCATTTGGGGAGTGAACCAGTGAACAATACCTCTCTCGCTCTTTCTCTTTCTCTCTCTCTCCCCCCTTTCCCTCTCTTTCCTCTCTTTTCCCCTCCTTCTCCCCCCATCTTTCTAATGCTATATATTTCCAACAATATGAAAAATATATAATTTTTAAAGATTTTTATTTATTTATTTGAAAGGTAGAGTTACAGAGAGAGAAGGAGATACAGAGACAGAGTGAGTGAGAGAGAGAAAGATCTTCCATCTGCTGGTTCACTCCCCAAAGGGCTGCAATGGCCAGTGCTGGGCTGATCCGAAGCTGGGAGCCAGGAACTTATTCCAGGTCTCCCACTTGGATGCAGGAGCCTAAGCACTTGGGCCATCCTCTGCTTCTTTCCCAGGCACATTAGTAGGGAGATGGATCCAGGACTCAAACCAGACCCCTGTGGGATGTCGGCACTGCAGGCAGCCGTGGCTTTAACCTGCTGCACCACAGCTCCAGCCCCCAAAATAAATAATTTTTCAAAAGCTTATGGAAATGCATAGAGGGAAAATTGTGCATGGATTTAAAGCATTTTTTTATTTGAAAAGCAAAGAGAGAGAGAAACACACACATATACGCACATACACAGAGAGAAAGAGGTCC